ACTGGTAACCATTGCCTTCAAGATTGCCACATCAAGAAAAAAAAAACATAATCAAAACAGGTGATTGAAACAGTAAGGTAGAATCTGATCAATCAAACATATAAATAGTTTAAGAAAAAAGTACAGATTCACAGTAAAAAAGAACACGGCATCCGAATCATAAACAACAATCTGATCAACAAATAATTGATAAGCAGGGCCATTAAAATTCGGGAAACAGGGAATGTAAGACATGAAAATTACAAAATTCTTACCAAAACTTTTATATAAAAAAAAGATAAGAAAATTCTGGTTTCTGGCTTTTGATTATTAGCAGCTAATGATCAACAAACAATTAGCTGCTTGGATTTTCATTTTGGTGCTTCACCCCATTTCTGAATGGTCTTCTTCTGTGTTGCAACTCTCCCTTTACTTCGATTCTCTCTCTCTCTCGGAGCTGTTTTCGGTTACTTTTTCAGTCCTGGGTTTTGGTGCTTTTTGGGAAACAATTTCAATGATGGGAAGAAAACAAAAAACAAATGGGCAGAAGACAACAAAATACCCATTAATGAACAGTGAAGCACCTAACAAAACAAAGAATTTAAGGAGTGTAAAACGACTTAAAATATTTTTTTAATGTATTTGTCTCGTATTTGTATAGGGTTTTTTCAGTGAAGTGTTCTGAAGAAAGAGAAAACAAAACGAGAGCAGTGAGAAAAAAAAAAGGAGATTTGATGAAGGGAAATGACCAAGTTGTCCCCTTTGGCATTCGCGTGGGGGTTTAGGGTTCTAAGAAATGTTGTTCCTCCTCGTGTCGTGTTTTTATCTAGTTTACTCTGACTTCGATAACAATAACAACAAAATTCTATTAATGAGATAAGGGTAGGTAGGGTAGTAGGTTGCTCTCAAAGTTAGGTTGAGAGAAATTTTCGCGGAAGACTTTCGGTAGTTAAAAATTAAAAAATAAAGATAAAATACAATGCATATATAAATAAATAAATAAATACATAGTTGAACAGTCTTCATATGCAGTCTACATATACGCGTCTGTAATGGGAAGTAATCCCTGCAAATAAAACTATGCGTAAAAATCTCTGCATATAGACAGAAACGTAAGTCAGCGATAGCAAGTTACGAGAAGGAATAAAGTCAAATGGGTTAAAACCTAAACTAAGGCAATACTACTTCGCTACACTAATTCTAAGCCTTCATAAATTCTAATGACAGAAACGTAAAAAAGTAGAAGTCATGAAAATTACTATAAAGGCATTAAAAATAAGATAGAGATGTTACACCCTATTGTTGTGACCCACACTACTCGGCTACCATGATCTTAAGTCTTCATATTTTCTATCAGAGGTCATGTCCTCGGTAAGGGCTAAATCATTCAAATCAGATTTTAAGCAGTCTACCCACTTCCTCCTTGGTCGTCCTCTTCTTCTGGCACCGTCGACTGTAATCGACTCTACCCTCCTGATCGCATCCGACGGTTGTCACTTAAGGACATGTACAAACCACCGTAGTCTTCCCTCCCTCAATTTTTCGGATACAGACACCACCCTCAAAGACATCCTAATTGCAGTGTTTGGTGTCATGTCCCACAGAGTCCTACTACATGTCCATCGAAACATTCTTATTTTTGTGGCCTCCATCCTCCTTACGTGATCCTTCTTGATTGCCCAACATTATGATCCATACAGCAGCGCTGGTCTAATTGTCATTCTATAAAATTTTCCCTTAAGTTTTAGAGGCACCTTCTTATCACACAAAACTCCAGTAACAACCCTCTACTTTAGCAATCCCGCCTTTATACGGTGTGTAACGTCATCATCTACACCTCATCTTTATGTATCATAGACCCTAGGTACTTGAAACAATAATTTGTTGTTGTTGTTGTTGTTGTTGTTTACTTCGGTAAGAAAAGATAATAAATGCGGTTAATAAATAGTTTATAGAAGTATATAGGGTAAATTATATGTTTAATATCTTAATTATTAATTTTGTTTTATTTTAATTATCTAATTATTTTTTAAAATTATATATAACTTTAAGTATTAGTTTATTTTGATCATATGTTGTTAAAAATTAACGTTAATATTAATGTGTAACTATAAGATAATGTTATATCATTATTAAAGTTGATTACATTAGAACTCACATAGTCATATTGATATATCTATATATATTATATGTTATAATTTTTTGATCTTTATTTTAAAGGATTATAAATATTATTACAATAATATGATTTTTTACGTACTTATATAATTTTTAAATAAAATTATAAAATGCATTTTTTAATTATAAAATATAAGAATAATAAATTTATATACAACTCTTTTATCACTTTATTTATTATTAAAAAATTATAGAATATATTTTTTTTCATCAAAATTAATGTATGATCATATATATATATATATATATATATAATTCTTTTAATTTTATACAAATTTAATATTATTAGATAACTGAAAATAGATTGTTTAGATTAACAATATAAAATGAAAATAAATTCACTAAAAAAATACAAAAAGTTAATTTCAATCATATATTTTTACTCATCTAACGATCTTAAATCTATATAAAATTAATATTTACGTAAATAAATTATAATTATGTGTGTGTAAACAAAAGCTTTATGCAAAGACAAAAATGTGAATTATTAGTCACTAAAAATTAGATAATTAAAACTAATAGTAGAAAATAAAAAAAATACAAACAATTACTTTCAATTCTATATTTACTCATCTAACGATGTTAAATTTATATAAAATTAAAAAAAAAAGTTTATAACACAAATAAATTCTAATTATATATATATATATATATATATATATATATATATATATATATATATATATATATATATATATATATATATATATATAAACAAAAGCTTTATTCAAAGACAAAAATGTGAATTATTAATTGGAAGATAGAGAGATAGAGTTTGAGAATTTGGATTAGGAAGTGGGAACAAATGACTCATTTGAAGTGTATATGTCAATATCCAAATTAGTTGATGAAAACTTGGCTTCCACGGCCTCCAAATGGGGACAACCAGGCATGACTTGCAAGTTCAGTTTTATGTAGTTCTTTTTTTAATAAACCCATTAGGTCAAACATTTTTATTTGTTATTATATTATGTATAAATTATAAATTATAAATTTATTTTTTATATTTTTATCTTATTATTTTTTATATTTCATATATGATTTTGAAATTTCAGATTTAAACGATAGTATTTAGATATGTTAAGTTAGTTGTTTTATTATTACTCCATGTATTAGGTATAAATTGTAAATTTAATTTATATTTTTAAATTGTATTATTATAAATTCTTGTAATTTAATTACATTTTCTATGTACTAATTGAATTTTATAATTTAAAAAATATAAAGACTACAAATGACCAACTTAAAGTATAGTGAATAAATCTACAACAAATACATAGTATAAGATGAAACCCTAAAATTTAACCAATCGGTTATTACAACAATGGTATTTAATGGATTTAAATGGATTAATTACATCAAATGCCCCTAAATTATGGCTCAAAATCTAAATAAATCTTTAAAATTCAAAGCATTCTAATTGAGTCATGAGTATCGGTATCATGTCAATCAAATCATTCAACCAACATAACTCCAGCTTGGGTATTAAAGATCAAGTCTATTTTGATATAGAAATTATTTAAAAACATGTGATTCAAAGTTTAAAAAATATATATATTCCCTCTAAGGTGAGTTCGAACAGTTGCGTTTGAAGAGTATGTGTACATCATCAATGGTTAAGAAATAATCACCTCAGATTGTCTAAAGAAACTGTACTGAAAATAAATTAATTGGTGTAACATCATTTAATTATAATATTTTTAAAACTCAGTGAGTAATTTAAAATTATAATTGGAAACATTGGATGAAGTTAATCCTTTTTAAATTAAGATATAAACACCTATTATCCATTTTCTCAACTTCAAATTATTGCCTCTTAGTAAAGAAGATGTCAATTTTGATAAATACATGGAGTTTGCTTATAAGTCGATGAAATTGATTTGACAATCTTAGTAGTCGTAGAGTTCCTTTTCAGTAACAATGTGAATAAAACCCATAACCTAATCTTTAATTTTTTTTTTTGGGGGGGGGGGGGGGCTGGTGTCATATTTCTTGATCAGGCTTTTGTAAGTAAAAGTAAAATTTAAAATATTACTAACGAATAAATATTATAAAATAATAAAAGGTAAATAAATATAGTTTTATCATGTACGAAAAATAAAAAAAAAACTAAAAGTGAAAAAGATCGTCAACAAAGGAATATAAGACGAACAATAAATCTTAAATGCATTACAATACAACATAAATGACATTCACATAAATCTAGCAACCATGGATATATATTTATTGTTAGGGATGGGCATGGGTCGGTTGGCGACCCGAAAATTTTACACCCTTCACTGGATCTGATCCGACCCTAAAAATATACATCCTTCACCCGATCCGATCCGACACGACTCAAAATAGTAAAATAATATTATTTTATTTAATAAAATAGTGATTTAATTGAAAAATATATATATAGAGAGAGGTATTATTGTAATTATTCTTAAATATATAAGGTAAAACTATATTTTTCCGGGTCGAATTTTTCATTCCAAACCGAATCCGACCTGAATCCGATTTAAAAAAAACTTATCGGGGTCGGGTAGGGTCAGAACCCGTGGTTCAGGGCCTATACCCATCCCTATTTATAGTTGTGTGAATCTCTATTTTTTCTTTCTATCGATTTATTCATGTATTAAACCAATTACATTATGAGTTTTTAGAATCGAATCAAATAAAGTTCGAGTCACAATCTTTAAGACATAACATCTTTTGGATCATTTACTTGTTAGTTTTAAAAGGTAAAATTATGACACATAAAATTTAGTAGTATAAATTTTTTTCAAATATTTTTTTTGATAAGTAATTTATATTCCATCCAAGAAAGCAGTCTAGCTGCTATAACCAACAAAGTTACCTCAAGACAGACCCCAATTCAAATATAAATACCTATTAACATCATCAAGCCTAGGACAACCAAATCTACACAACTTGACTCTAACAACCACTTTTATACTATTTACAATTACATCAGCCGATCGAGACGAGCCTCTAAAGAGCCTATGATTACGCTCTTCCCAGACAGAATACAGCAGACCAGTCCAAGCAAGCTTTAGGATACGAACTCTAAAGGATTTTCCCTTCAAATTTGCAATCAACCAATTAAAGACATCATCCCAGCTGTTCAGGTCACAACGAACATCACAAGAAGTTAGAACAATACCCCACACTTCCTTTGCAAAATAGCATTTAACAAAAAGGTGATCTCGAGATTCAATGGCAGAGCCACACAAACAACAAACATTATCAATAGCCAAACCAAAACGGACAAACCTATCTTTAGTAGCCAACCTATCGAGAATGACCATTCACGAGATAAGAGAGAGAATTTGGGGATGTGAGCAGGGAACCAGATCAGTTTTTGCCAATTTACCTTCGCCCTACAATCCCGAATATTGTCCCAGATCCATTTACCTTTAATAAGACTCCAGTTGGTACAAGGGAGGAATAACCGTCTAGACTCCTCACGCATACTCAGAAGCTTGCTCAGGATCCAACTGAAGTGAGCTTTGCACTCAACATCCCAAAAGCTAACTATTTTGAAACAATATTCATTGATCCAGGCAATCCAAAGAGAGTCTTCATTAGCCAATATGTTTTTTTATAAGGAGCAAACAACAAGCTTTATTCCAGACCACAAGGCTTCGAAGACCCAATCCACCCTCAGACTTCAAGGAGTAGATCTGGCTCCATCCCACACGAGCTCCTTTTGCTGATGAATCACTGTCATTATAGAAAAAATGCATACAAAGGCGTTCAATATCCCTAAAAATTCCCTTGGACAAAACCAGCTGCCTACACCAATAGTTAAAAATGTTGAACAAAACAAATTTAATCAATTGGAGCCTACCACCATAACTCAGGTTCTTGTTAGACCAAATCCTGAGCTTATCCTTTATTTTGGTCAAAAGTGCTTCACAGTCTTTGTCTGTGAGCTTGCGGGTCACCAGAGGCACCCCAAGATACCTCACAGGAAGAAGTCCCAACCCAAACCCTATAGCCAATATGATCTTCTCCAGGTCAAGCATGTTCAAACTACAAGCATACAATTCTGTCTTTTGAGCATTCAGTTTAAGGCCTGATAGCTCATAGAACTTATCTAAATTGCATTGCACTCCCAACACAGCATCCAAAGAGCCATAACAAAAAACAAGCAGATCATCCGCAAAGCAAAGGTGAGTGAGAGATATTCTTCTACACTTAAGAGTGGAACTTAAAGACACAATGATTAGCAGTAACATCTAGGAGAGAGGACATAACATTCATGGATATAATAAATAGGTAAGGAGATAAATGATTTCCTTGCCTAACCCCCTAGCTCCTTTGAAATACCCCACCAAGCTACCATTAAGAGAAAGAGAGAACATAGGGGTAGTTGTTAAAAACATTTTTATGTTTCGATATAACAAATTAAGTTAAATGAATTTTAAGATTTTACAAAAGATTTTCTAAGTATATTCGATGTAATTATTCGAATATCAAAATATTACTCCAAGTGTTTCAAAGTTCATTTTAATCCTTACTAAAGTGTAAAATTGTGTTTTATACTTAAACTATTTTTAAAACAATTTTACAAAGTATTTCAAACCGTTTCAAAGCCAAGAAAAATCAGATTGTCCAGGGGGTACAGATTCCCCCCCAGGGGGTACCGATTCCCCCCAGGGGGTACCGATTCCCCCATGTCTAACCGTCGAAATCAGATTGTACTTAGGGAACTGATTCCATATGAGGGGGTACCGATTCCCCCCACGCTCCAAGCTGTTTTATTAATGGATTCTCATCTCCAAACGGCTCCAAAACATCCTCAACGGCTATATACGACTTCAAACACATTCCAAGCTATAAATACAAGCTAAGGACACTTGAAGAAGCAAGAGAACACAAGAGAAGAGTTTTTCAATCTTATTTCATCTTTCTCTTGTAAATATTTTGTTCTTGTGACCTCAATCTTGTAAACACCTACCTTAGAGAGGTTTTCTTGTTTACATCTTATATCCTTTTATAAAGGGGAAATGTTCTAGCTTAGCCTGTGTAAAACCTAGGGAAAGGTTCTAGTTTAGCCCGGAAAAACTAGGGAGTTTGTAAGGTTACTCTTTATCCTCAAAAGAAAGAATAAATTAGTGAATTTGTGGAAAATCCTTGGTGAGGAGCTAAGGTAGTGGATGTAGACTTTGATTGAGAAAGTTGAACCACTATAAATCGCTGTGCAATTCTCTATCTTTCAATCTCTTTACTCCCTAAACACAAAACTGTTTCGACCCCTCTTTGCAAATCGTTCCGGTTATCGATTTAAGCTTTCGAAAATCCTAACAATTGGCATCAGAGCCTAACTCGTTAAGAAGGTTTAACCGCCTTGAGACAGTCCTTGAAGAAGCTCTACCAATTCCTAACATAAACGAGAAGATGGTTTCCACATCCGGCTCGTTCCACATTGAAGACTCCCTACCAACAAACAAGCATCCACACTTCAATGGAGACAACTATCGTCATTGGAAGAAATTAATGAAGGTATTCATCCAATCCAATGATCTTGATGCATGAGAGATAATCGAGAACGTCTACTCTTCTCCAAAGAAGAAGGAGAAGAAGTGGAGTGACAAAGAACGGAAGAAATCTCAACTTAATGCCAAGGACATGCACATGGTGTTGTGTGCATTTGGTCCTGGAATCTATGAAGGAGTTTCTTCATGTTCAAGAAGAAGAACCAACAGAGGTGGTGTCTCTAATGGCTCTTGAAGACCCGAGGTATCTTCTAACTCAAATGAATTTAATCATTTACTTTAATGAGTTACAAGATGCTTATAATAGGTTGTATTTGGGATTTGAGACCATGAATTCCAAATATACGAAATTAATTTCAAAACTCAAAATTGAAAATAAATCGATTTTGAAAGCTAGAGTTGATTTTGAAAATCAAAATGAAATTTTGAAAAATGATTTAGATCTTTCAAAAATCAAAATAAATGATTTAGAAAAGAAAAATTTTGAGTTAGAAGTTAAGCTTGAAAGCTTAACAAAAGAAAAAGAATTAATTTCTAAAAACAATCTATTATGTTTAAAAATGGCAAAATGCTCACATTGCCATTATCATGGTCATTTGGAACATACTTGTCCTTTGAAGAAAGGAAAATGTTTTAAAATTAGGCAAGTATGGGTTCCGAAAGGAACAGGGGCATTGAAACTAACGTCCAAGGATCCAAAGTAATTTGGATACCAAAATCTACTTAAATGTCTCTTGTAGGTGTGTGGAAGCAATTGTGATGAAAATGATGATATTCAAGATGCTCTAGCCACATATGAAAAGGAATGGGTAACCTCTAAGCTTAATGTTTTTAATTTTAGTTATTTGGTTGCTCATTTGATTTTAAGCATGCATGAGTTTTGTTTTTAAATAATTATACATTATTGTTTTAATCTCATGTATGTTTTTAATGATTTTTTTTTAATTTTTAGTTCATCATAAGGAATTTTGGTCAAAATTGGTTTTAATGCAAATGATATCTCTCTAACAATTGATATCAACTTTTCAAATGTTTTGATTTTATAAATTTTAAAAATTTTGACCTAAAATTAAATGTTTACGCATGTGGTTTAAATGAAAATGATATCTCTCTAACAATTGATATCAAAATTTTCAAATGCATAACATTTTTGGAAAACTTTATGCATATGCACTTAATTTCAATAATTGATATTGCATAAAGTATTTTAGACTTGGATGTATTGAATTTCTTGTGCTACTAACATGTTTGTTATTATTTGTTGAAATTCAATTTTGTTTAAGTGCCAAGATCCTAAAAGCATAATTTTATTTGGAATACATTTATTGAGGGAGAGCTTTGATTTTTCAAATGATTTTTAAAATGTCAAATTTACTACTTACTCTCCAAAGTTATTTTTGTAACATCCTTAATACCGGGTTAGTGACCAAATTGTAATATTTCAGAATTTGGTGATTAAAGTGGAATAGTTAAAAAGTTCAATGATTTATTTGAAAATATTACCTTGAAGATGTTAGTAATTATAAAAGGTATTAAAGGGAAAAAGGGTCATTTGACCAAGAGATGAATAAAATAATGATATATATATGGATAAGGATGAGAGATTTTTCCAGAAATATCTTCTCTCTTTTTCTTCTTCATCTTCTTCTTCATCCCGTGAAAGCTCCAAGACAAAGGTAAGATTCCTTGTAGCTGATTATTTGTTAATTTTAAGAGTGGGTTTTGATCCTTAGGTAATATTTAAGCTTATGGAAAGCTTAGGTTGTCCTAAAATCAAAAGATGAAGAAGTTATGAAAGATTAAATAAAATGAGTTTTTAAAGGAAATGTTATAAAAGAGTTAATAAGTGAATTTTGAGAAGGAATTTGACTTGTTATCTATAAAAATAAGAGATTTATGAAGTTAGAAAGAATTTATAACAAAGTTGAAAATTTAGTAAGATTCTTAATTTTAAGAATCATGAGGAGATATGGAAGATAAATATGGTTTATATGGATATAAGTTGGTTTAAGTAATGGTAGTTGAGTTTAAGGACATGATAGGGGCTAAAAATAGAAGAATTGAATAAAGAGTTGAATAATTTCGTGCTTAAAATGGAATTTCTGGGTTGTGTGCATCGATGCATATTCAATGTGCATCGATGCACTCTCAAATAAACAAACATCGAATGCAAGTAGTGCATCGATGCATAAGTAGTGCATCGATGCACCCTCTTAAAATACAAACATCGAATGTATTTTATGCACCGATGCACAAGTAGTACATCGATGCATCGTTAGGGAATGCATCGATACACTATGCAGTGCATCGATGCATACCTTCATTAAAAGATGAAATTGGCTTTTCTCTTAGCCTAAGGAGTGATAGTTTCGAATATATCAATTAGTATACTGATAAGTATAAATGTATTATTATGTAGATATAGAATGAAGCTGTTCCGGAACAAACTAAGGATTAGGATTGATTCGAAGCAAACGAGGCCCAGGTGAGTGCATACAAGTTAGTTTATGGTGTTTAATGGAAATAAGACTTGCGATGAGTCTATTTCCTATTTTAGAATGTATGAATTTATGATCATATGTATATGTTTGATTTGAGTATATATGATATAAATTACAGTAGGTGTTAAATGATTTGTGTGAATACATGTAGTGTGATCAGTTATAGGATCTAATATGAATGATCTATATGATTGCATGGGAAGTGAAATAAGTTATATGATGGATGACCATACATGTTACAGGGTATAGGTGATTAATTATGAGAATCAGTATAATATATTTATGACTACATGAGATGGGTGATGA